TGCATGTGGCTGTCTGTGGGCCCCTTACTCGAGCTCCACAAACTCTACCAGGTAGACCTTGGCATTCTTCCACAACTCAACGTGCCAGGGGGCATGGTGGCGGACTTGGTCGTGGATTGACATTACTGCGGTTACTTTCTGGTACATCGAGCGGCTCTCCCAAAGCACCATGTCCCTCGAGATCAATCCTAAAGTCATCCGTGTGGCGAGGCTCGTGAAGCTCCTGCGATTTATCAGAGTCATCCGGTTCATCAACGCCTTCGAAAAACTATTCAGCTGCCTATGACTAGCCCGACAACTGAGGCAGCGCAGCATCGAAATGCGGGAAGGATGCGTCTGTCGAGTTCTCCCGAAAGGCTCGGTAGACGACGGTCGAATGCAGCTTCATGGAGGCTTCTAGGGGGAGGCCCTAATTGTGGCCTGTTAGTGCCCATTGGGAAACCTTGTATGGGACTGTCGGAGGCTCTTTGGGGCCGCCTTTGGCACAGGGTTTTACCGAGCTCCTCGGAATCGGACTGGTAGGTCTACCTTGGGGCGGCCTTGGCGGACCTTGGGGCCGTCTGGAAGCCCTGTGGGGCAGTCTGCTTGTTGTTGCTAGTTTTGTTGGCTGCGCCAACTACACGTGGCAGGTCGAGGGGGAGGGGGTGAGATCGCAGTTGAACGGAGACCCCCCACCGGAAGATCGGTTTCGGTTTCGTGTTCGTGTCGCGCGTGCGGGCGAGGCGAAGCTGGGTGGGCGGGCGAGAGGACTGAACCCTGCTCTGGCTAGTGCGCCGCCACGCCAAAAGACCGCCTCCCCCCCCCGGGTTGGCCGGCGGTGGCTGGGGGTGCCCCGCCGTGGCGTACCGACGGTGGCCCGTGGTGTCCCGTAGTGTCCCGTGGTGCCTTGCGGTGGCCCGTTGTGTCCCGTGGCGTGGTGTCCCGTCGGTGTCCCGCTGCTGCCCCGTAGTGAGTTCGAGCGCGTGGCCAGGTCGCACGGCTCCGCGACCCTGGTGGAGGCGCGAGACCGCGGGCGCCTGGCTCGCGAGCAGAGGGCGGCGGCGGCGCTTGGGGACGAGGGGCCCCAGGAAGACGAGCCCTAGGCGGTGGGCTTGTTCCTGGGGGCCCCGCCCGCACCTCTCTGCATGACGTTCGAACCGCGGGTGGGTCCGCTCACCCTCGAAGACCTAAAAAATGCCCTCACCGTACAACAGTAATACGATAGGAATATTATAGGAATGTAACAGGGTTCTAATATAAACCTATCCGGTACGAACGTGACGTATGAAGCGTCTATTTTCGGCGCTTTCCTAGTAAAGCCGCGACGCAGGCAGCAGGCAGGAACAGTACACGAAGTTGGCGTTTGGCGCGACGGGAAGGCGATGCGCAACCCTACAACTACTGCTACCCGTACTTCTAGCGTTGCTACACCTACTACAGCGACCATTATTTGTTTCAGCGTTATTGCTAGTGCGACTCTTGCGAGGGCGACGGCGACGAGTCGCTTGCGGCTACTAATCCGGCGATGGTTACTTCTATTACTACGACGACGACTACGAGTACACTTAGTACGGCTACTACTACCACCAAGACTGCGACTACGACTACGACGGCGATGATTATGATTACTACGATTACTACTTTGACTACTACTACTAATACTACTATTATGATTCCGACCGCGACCATTAATTTTCCGATTGTTATTATTATTGATACTACTACTACTACTACTACTACTACTACTACTACTACTACTACTAGTACTATTACTGCGACTACTACTACTACTACTACTACTACTACCACTACTACTACTACTACTACTACTACTACTACTACTACTACTACTACTACTACTACTGCTGCTGCTGCTACTACTACTACTACTACCACTATGACTACATGTATTAATACAACTACCACTATCCTTCCAAATCCTACGTTTATTGCTAGCACTACTACGCCGACGACGGCGACGATTGTTATTACTACTACTATCACCACAACTAGGACTACTACGACTCCCACCGTCTTTCGTATTATTTACACATCTTGTGCAAACCCCCGACGGCGACAATGACGATGACGGCCGCTACTCTTGCGAATCCGAGTCGTATTACAGCCGCTGCGACTACTGCTGCCACTACTACTACTACTACTACTACTACTTCTTCTTCTTCTACTACTACTACTACTAGTACTACTACTATAACTACTACTACTACTACTACTACTACTGCTACTACCACTACTACCATTACTACTACTACAACAACAACTACTACTACTACTACGACTACTACTACGACTACTACTACTACTACTACTGCTACTACTACTACTACTACTACTACGACTACTACTACTACTAATACTTCTACTACTAATACTACTACTACGACTACTACTACGACTACTACTACTACTACTACTACTACTACTACGACTACTACTACGACTACTACTACTACTACTAGTACTAGTACTACCACTACTACTACTACTACTACTACTACTACTACTACTACTACTACTACTACTACTACTACGGCTACCACCGAACTTTGTATTATTATAACCACCATTCCTCTCCCTACGACCAGTATTGTTACTATAAGTTGACAGCGGCGACGAATATCCATATTACCATTACTATTACTACGGCTTTTACTTGTTGGTTTCACTTGCTACTACGACTGCTTCTACTTCTACGACGGTTGCTATTCTTACTCCGATTATTCGTGGCACGACTTCTTTTTCTGTCGTTACTTCTACTACTACTACCCCGGCTACGACTACGACTACCACGGTTACTACCACTACATTTACGACAACTACTACTATTACCATGTAGCGCCCCTCGCGGGGGTAGAAACCAATTGGACCAAGTGTATTTGCTGGGGCGTCATGCTGTCACCCTGTTGGTTTTGTTTTGTCGTCTTATTGTTCCCTTTCATGATTACGTATTTCAGAAACCCATGTGTATTTTCACCCCACTCCTCTCTGTATTGTCGATTCGAATCTCTATTCTTGTATGTTGCATTGGTTTTTGTTTAATTCAGCTCATGGCGTCTTGGTTGTCGCTGAATTTCTGATTTGGCTCCCCCCGCCGTGCTGTCATCGCCCATTCCTCTCTCCTCGCGCGTTTCTTTCTCCTTCCCCTTCTTTTTCTGGTTTGCGGGCCCATTTTGGAAACTCAACCACCCCCAATCCACCCCATCCCCCCAGCCCCCCCCCCCCAGACTAGCATCATTATCATGATCCGTTTCCGCATGTCCATTTTTGAAACTCAACCACCCCAAAATCACATCTCCTCCCCCAGGCCCCCCCCAGCATCATCATCATTATCATGATCCGTTTCCGCATGTCCATTTTGACCCCCCCCCCCCTGGGATCTCCTGGGGCCTCGTGGAACCTCGCAGGGCAGCTTGGGGCCAGGGGCGTGGCACGGGACGCGCCAAGGGACCATGACCTTTCGTAAGCTATACGGATTTCGCGCCCCCAGTGCCAAGAACCTTTGTAGATTAGCCTGGGGTCGCGCTCCCAGGGCCAAAACCCTTCGCAAATTACGACGGATGCACGCTCCCAGGGCCACGATCCTTCGTAAATTGTACGACTTCGGCGCTCCCAGTGTTTAGGGGCACCTGCCCCCTTCCCTCATCATGCTCGTCCTCCTCCTCATCCTTCTCCTCGTCCTCCTCCTCTTTTTCCTTGTCCTCCTCCTCCTCCTCCTCCTCCTCCACGTTCTCCTCCTCCTCCGCCTCCCCCTCCCTACCTCGGGCGTGATGGACCATGGGACCTCATGGAGCCTCCTGGTAATCCCGGGGGCCTCCTGGGATAGCAACCTCTGGGGACTTCCTGCGGCCTCTTGAAACCTCCTGGGCTCACCTAGGGTATGCTCAGCCCTCCAGGGGCGTCCTCAGCGTTCTGGAACTTTTGGGTCGTTCAGGATACGCCCGGAGCGTGATGGGACCTCCTGGGGCCTTGTGGGGGACCTCGCGGGGCATCCTGGGACCTCCTGGAGCGTCCTGGAGCCTCCTTAGGATTCCCACGGCCTCCGGGGACGGACGTCCTGAAGCCTCCTGGAGTTTCCTGGTGTTTCCTGAGACCTCCTGCTGGGGCCTCTTGGCGGCTCTCTAAGAAGCCACGTGCGGGGCCTCAAAATTGGCGACAGTTTCAAGGATGGGAGCCTTCCCATTGAGAAAAAGGGCGCGGTGGACGTTGAAGAATGACGACAGTTACACACTTGAGGCCCAAACCGTGCCGGGCCCCCCCCCCCCCCGCCATTCCCGGTCCTGCATAGTGCGGTGCGATTTGCCCCCTCCCCGCTGTCCCGCTGGTCCCTGGGAGGGCTAGTTCTCTGGTTTTCGCTGGTAAGAAACACTTCCCCCCCCCTCTCGGCGGTGACGGAGGGCAGGCGGCGGGGGAGAGCGGGTTGGCAGGGTGGCTGGTTGGGCACGGAGAGCAGGCGGAGGGGATCGGCTGGTTGGCGGGATGATGGGGTGGGCGGCTGGGCTGGTTGGCTGACGGGTTGGCTAGGTGGCGGGGTGGCTGGGTGGGCTGGCTGGCTGGTTGGACGGGTTGGCAGGTTGAGCTGGCTAGGGCAATTGGTTTCGATTTCTACTACTTCTACGACTACGACGACTTCTACCATTAGTGTTATTATGTATGACTATCATGCACCACTATTCCTACCATTATCTTGTGTGTCTATCATTTATACTATTACCCTGACCGTTGTTCCGACGAGTGCTGCAGCCACGGATACCATTAGTATTGTCTCTTACGGGCACCAGTCGCTTTGCTACCATGGCTCGCTCTAGTACAACTGCTTTCACTGCTCCGCTACTTTGGCTGCTCCGAAAACTATCGCGACTACGGCAACTATCAGCATTAATTATTATTTCTACGACGACTACAAGTACGATTGAAACTACGATCGTGATTACGACTATTGTTAATACGGCGCGCGCTATTACGGTTACGACCATCGCTAGTACGACTACGGGTACGACTGCTATTACCGAAGGTCACCAATAATGGTACTACCAAGACTTCTATCAGTACGATTACTACCACCTACTACTACTACTACTACTACTTCTACTGCGACTTCTTCTGATCTTATTCGGATTACCACTACTATTACTACTACTACTACTACTACTACTACTAGTACTACTACTACTACTACTACTACTACTACTACTACTACCACGTTCACTACGGCTACTACCACTACCACGACTAATAACATCATAACTATTACCATTACCGGCATTATTTTTTGTTACGCCGACTC